GACTCGATGTTTAATTGTTTGTGTGTCGAGTAGTGTAAAGTACTCACCCTTACATTTATTTTTCAGGTGACCAAAACGATCAACACTGGACTCAGTGAATGATGGATGAAACTGCTATAGGATTAGAAATTTATTTGAACTATAATGTAATTGAATTAATCCTGTAATAATGATTTGATGCAATTTGTAACCCATTCTTATTTTGAATATTTTAACGAACTATGTATGGGAAAAACCTTTTTGAATGAAACTTTATTTTCTCCCAAATTTCTAAATTTTGATATTTGAGATTAAATTTAAGGTATTACAACAAAGACCTAGAAATTAGTATATAACTATCACTAAATAAATACCCTGTAGTTTTGAAGTAGGTTCTTAAGGTAAAAAATAAATATGATGGCCAATTGCAAAGCATAAAGAATGACTTATGGCAAAAGATTTATTGCCAAGGCTTGGCTTAGATTGTTTGAATGTATACACACGTATGGTAAGGCTTAAACAATGAAATCAATGGTGGCCCTTACTAGTTCTAAAATCCGGCAACTATTCGACTTTGATGTAAAATATGCCTTCTTAATGGATCAATGGAAGAGGGAGTTTATTTGTCCCATCTTACATATGACAGCATTGAAACAAGAGAACTAACACCTTCCTATTATAGATAGGATTTCTCAAATGTTCAATGGAGCATGGGATATATGTGAAGGTTGACATCTTGCTAGTATGCTTATAAGTGGATGATCTCTTAATTACATTTACCACACAACATTGTACTAATTTGTTTGCTTCTTCCATTTCTTTGTTGAATTTTTGTGAATATGTTTTGAATTTTGTTAATCACAGTCAAACATCTCCTTTTGTATATCACAGTTGGTTAGGCCATTCATCAAATAAAGTTTTCAATCCAACTTCTTATTTTGCTACTTCATTTGTTTTTACCTTTATCTATGAAAAAATGATTATTTCTGTCTATGATGCTTGCTTTGACTCAATACATTGTGATACTTGGGACCTTTTCCTTCAACTCATATATGATGATAAAAAAATATATTCTTATATTAGTTGATGATTTCTCATGTTTTACTTGAATCTGTATGATGGGCAAACAAGTCACACACTCTTTCTATCTTCATTAAGCAATTAAGGAGTTGGCAAGCATTATTTCTTGACCTTAAAAAGAATCTTGCATCAAATTAGTTGCATTGAAATTAAATCCACGACAAAATGTTAATGGATAACAAAAAATCAACACCTGTTGAATGTAGCAAGATCTCTGTATTTTGAATCTGGAATTCCATTTTCCTTTTAGAGTGAGAGCATATCAAGATAGTAGTCTCCGTTGTGAATCGTGTTCCAGCTATTAACCATTAGATGCAAACAGCATGCAAATTGGTGTATGGAAAGGAACTTGATTACATGCAGTTTTCTGCACTCTATCTTCTTCTCACAGGCACAATAAGAAAGCCATTCCCTGCATATTTGTGGGCATTTCAATGGTTTCAACAAGTACAAATTGTCCATGAAGAAGCTTTTTAAACAGTGGACCCGTTTTTCATTAGACTTATTTCCCCTTTCACAATTCCAGTGGACCTGTTTTCTAATATACAAATTATCATTTTTTATTTTTTTTCCACTTTCAAATATTTATATAGAGAATACTAAAAATAGAGTATAAGGTGTTTTTATTTAATTGTAAACAAATTTATCAATTAAGCGATTAAAATAGCTTACAAAATAAAGTATTCGTGTATTAAACACATAAAATAATGATTATTTTAACACATTTTATGTTAATATAAAAAATAAGATCTTACTGATTAACATTTTCTTTCAAGGTCACTAGTTAATATACATTGAAATGCATTAACAATTATGAGAAGTATTGTGTAATATTTTCTTAATTTAATTCCTTGACTAGTGTTCATAAGACACCAGTTACATTTACCTAACTAAATAAATAAATAATCATTTTTTCTAAATTGTGTTTAAGAGTACATAATAATAAATTAATAAATAATAATTTTTATTAAAATTATAGCAGATAATATTATTCACATATTAAATTTTTTAATTTTTAATAAAAAATTTATATACAAATTTTTTTGGTGTACCTTTAGGTATACATTAAAAAAATTAACAAATAATACTATTTTTATTGTTATGTATCAGAAGAAAAAGTTGTTTCATTCTTTTTGTCCATATACGTTTTGCCTGTATAGAATTTCTAAGTACAATAAAGAAATATTTACACTAGATAAATAATTTAAAAATAATAAGATAGAATGATAATTTTATCGTTATTTAATATAATTAAACTCAATTTGATCATTTTATTTTTATTAACTTCATTTATCAAGGATAAATATAAAAAATAATAAATGATTCATATAAATTGTAAAATACTCCAATTATTTTTCTTTGTCGTTAAAGATTTTGCAATAACTTTAGTATTTATAATAGAAATATTTAAATAAAACTAATATATACTAAATAACATTGAATATGTGACAGAGAGAGTATATTATTATTTTTATAATTAATATATCATTTTCTATTAAAAAGTAATAATTAATTAATTAACAATAAAAATAAATAAAATATTAACTATTCGTTAATTTTATGAAATGATAATAAAAATGAAGAAAATAAAATTATTAAAGTATAAAAATATATAAGAGCACTTAACAGAAAGTTTAAGTATCGAATAGCTTAATATTACTTAAATAAAATTTTAAATTTAAATTTTTATATATAAAAAAAATTAATAATAAATTTATATATTACATTTAAGTGTGTGACTCAAATCTAAATTAAATTGGATGAAAAAAATATATACACAAGAGTAACAAAATATCCTATTCTCTGCATTATACATGTTGACATTAGTATGTCATTTAATTCATGAATTGTTTGTTGATGGAAAGATGAATTATGAGACATATGACACCAAACCCAAGACTAAGATTAAAGGGAAAATATATCTGTTTCAGCGTCAGAAGCAGACAAAGCGACCGAATTCTGAGGGTGTGCTGAGATCTGAACACGAAAACTTGATTCAACTTTTAAGGCAAAACGGTGCTTTCATGTCTTTTTCTCAATCCCTCTTCAAGTCGTTGTCGTGGATGAGTCAAATTGGAATATGCTGCATCCTTAGCACCTCACTTGCATATTCTTTTGCTTCTGTTTCGTTCCACTGTTCTTTTATGAAAAAATCACTCATAATTTTCATATTATCGCTCATCATAAACATAATCATTGTGGTTGCTAGAAACTCACTTTAATGCAATCCTTTTTAAATTTATTAAGAATCATAAAAATATAATGGACTTGTGTTATCAATCGTTGTTTCAAGAACAACGTTAAAGAATTCAGACAGTAATATTTTATTTAAAACATTTACTATTTAATATTATTAACATATTTTACTAATATGTTATTTATTAATTGTAATTAAATTTTTCTAAAGACATTGGTTAGCAAAAGTAAGAAATTTTAAAGATTCTTTTTATTATCATTTTTTATTTTATTTTTTTATCAAATTGGTCTATTAAAAATTTCACCAATTTAACTTTAATCCTCTATTTTATTTAAATAATTAAAAAATTAACTTGATCACGAATTAAACTGTTGAGAAATTAATGTGATGAAAAAAGCTATTAGAAGCTTAAAAAGGAACAGCTTAAATATTTAAAGCAGTAATATACAAGGAATATGCTAATATGTAAGGTAAGATTAATGAATTAAAAATAAAAATTTTATAATTTTTTTAAAAGTACCTACTCCCATGTTTTTAATAATTTTAATATAATTTTTAATAAAATCATTATTTATTAATTTCTTAACCAATACTGACAAAACATATAATACTTAGAATTGTTAGAGGACTACTATTAAAAAATATTTTTATTTTTAAAATTGTACAATATCGCATGCGATAACAAATTAATAAACATTAATTTTCATTAAATTTTATAATGTTTAATAATATTAATACATTAAATTATATAATGTATATAAATTCTTATTACACGTAACGTTACGCATAAAAAAAATGAAAAACTTACGTGAAGTGAAAAGTTAAGGGTTTGGTCTTGTTTTTATCATTCAACGGCACAAGAAAAGGACAAAAAGTTTGATGTAACACAACTGTGTACGAGGACATGACTCCTGGATCAGCATAAATATACAATGAACCATTGCATAAACGACCCTCCTTATTTGATATGCATTGACGTGTTCTTCTGAGTTTTGAAATGCAAGACATGCTCAGTGATTCAAGCTATATGTTGGTGAGTAATGCTACTCCAAAACCAGCTCAGATTCCAATGTTCATAAAACTAGGTCCACCCATTAAATAAAGACTGGAATCTTCTTTTTCTCTTTCACGATAATAGAAAGGGAGAAACTAGATTTAGAAAACATTAGAAGCAAAATTGAAGATAATAAATGCATGTATTTTTTCACTTAATATGTACTTTATAAAGAAATAGAATGATTAGTAGGAGGATTTGTAAGAGAATATAACAAAGCTCATTTCATGTAGAAATTCAAGACAGTAGTAATTGAGATTCTTCTACTATTGTTCTTTTATTCATTTGAAGTATTTATACTAACTGATAAGAGTAAAAGGACACCTATTAATTATTAAGTTTAGTAATTAATTCCAACACAAAAATTATATTTTTTGGTCTGTATATTTTTTAAAGAACGGAGGTAATATATCATAATCTTAAATAAAGAAAGAAAAAATTATAAAATATTAAAAAATATAAAACTACTATAAAACGTTCTAAATTGTTCTAAAATACTATTAAGATGTTAGTGGATATTTTTCATATATTCTATCATATTGCGTAAAGAAAGGATAAAAGTGTTTAACATGGACATTCAACATGTTCAACCATATTTGGCCCACCAACTCAGAACAAGAAAGGGGCTAGCAGAGCTTACACTAGCTTGGCCCATAACACACGAAGGTACAAGAAAACCAATACCATTGGGTGACTAAAAACAAAATATCATTCAAAACCATTTCGGATCACATATTTATGAATCTTTACAATACATTATGCGTTGAAAAATGAAACAACTACACAAGTACAATTCTAAAACAATTTCATGCATGAAGCAAGTTGGCTCCATCACTTTGGTAATGTGCAACACAACTCACAAGCCAAGTGTGTTCTAAAGATAAATTACAATTTCTGAGCCAGCATAAAACATGGAAGAAAAGAAAAATAGCACTATTAATAACATATTCCAGACAAAGTTTGCATTTTGCATAATTATCAGAAAGAATATGGCTGTCATACCATATATGTCATTCCCACTTGAATGATATTGGTGTGAGGCACTCTCATGTTTGCAGTGCCTCCTCTGCAGTTCTTTCTGAGAAATGCATAGAAATAATTTATCACCAATTTCTTAATGAAAAAAGAGTTCTTCTTTGCCCTCACATCACCATGTCCAAGCAAATAGGTGCACCCTGATTCCATTGCTTCTCTAAGGGCTGCAAGCTCATATTCAAGACTGGGATCTTCATCTGATGACATGTAACTAGATGGCAATGTTGATGCAGCTTCTTGAGGGGTAGAAGAAGTTCCTGTTGCTTCTAGTTTTTTACCATGCATCAGTGGAATTCTAAGCTCGTCATCCGCAGTAGGAAGATCAGAATCCCTTGTATGCACTGAGACATTGTCCATGTCATCGCTTAAGTTTCCCTGCAACTCCAAGGCAGTTTCTTGAGCTTCCCTTCTCAAGAATTTCTCTAGACTTTCAATAAGAAGTTGCTCAAATGCATGGTGATCTTCCTTCCTTACATCTTTGTAACCATACCTTGCAACACAGCGAAATATATGGTAATCTTTGGGGCAAACTCGTCGGAATAGAAACCTTTCCTCTTGAGGAACTACTGGGATTGGGACATATTTAATGCAGACAAAAACTATGGTTGAGTGAAGAGCTGGAAGGTTCAGCAGGAACTGTAAAAAAATGGAGGGAATGCCTTGGACAAGCTCATTGTATAGCAATCCTATTCCTGGCACTCTTACAGTTCCTAGATTGAAGCCAAGATCAAGCATCAAGTCCACTGAAAACTTCTCTCTAACTTCACTTCGGTACTTCAATACACTACCATAGTTCCATATGTACATCACAGAGAGGAAGAAGGTAGCAAAGGCAAGTGGAAGCCAGCCACCCTCAGTGATTTTGGATAGGACAGAAGACATGTAAATTAGCTCCACTGAACCAAATAGAAGAGGGAAACAAAGTGCCAAAAACAAGTTAGTCTGCCAAATTAAAAGCATTACAATGGTCACCAAGGTGGTGCTAACCATCATGACACCTACTTCGGCAATACCTGAAACAAGGATATTGAAATGCATTAGTACAGATATATTACAAATGGTCTTACTTTAATGTATAAGACATGTGATGTATGACATGAAAATCATTTAGCTCCTTCCTGTTGTAAATTGATGTCTTTGGATTAACACCATCAGGTATTTGTGAAGCATTAGGCACTCACATTATCAGTTATATAAAAGAAACTCAAACACTATTGATAGAAACATGGTAATCTTTGTTAGGAAACACCAAGTGGAACTCCACACTTAACAGAATAAACACACTCATCAATTCTTTGAGGCCCTAACGCTTTTGCAATTGACAAGCTGACCTCTCTCTCTAACACACACTCTTATTTATAGAGGCAATCAACCTTATTTCTTCTACAATCTTAGCCAGCCCAGTTACTAACTAAATCAGGCTAACTAACTACTAATAGGTCCCTAACTAACATTACTAATTAATAACTAATTATTAATGGGGTTCCCAAACAACTTGAATCTCATGACATGCAAATGTTTTGAATTTTATTTTAATGCGTAAACATGTATTTAGAAACAAAAATGGAGCGCAAGTAAGCTTGTAATGAATTAAGAAAAATAATTACAATTCACAAATTAGTCAATACTCGAGACATACATACACTGCTTAATTGATGCTGTTACATAATTTTCACCAGCTGCCACACCAACAATTGAAACATAGACAGAAAACATAGATGCAAAGGCAGAAAATATAAATTGGATAAAATCCTGATACAGTCAATTCATACAATACCTTTCTTAACATCTCAGTTGTAACACTAGAGCCAAAAAAACAAAAAGATAAAAAGAATGCTCCAAGACAATTGAGATGGGGGACACTTACCATATGCATTTGCAATATCAGTAGTGCTTTGGAAGATAGAAACCACAACTATGCACATGATCATCAGAAACCAGTTAATTATGGGTATGTAAATTTGACCCATGAACTTTTTTGAGGTGTGAATTATCTTGAGCCTGGGGAAGCATCCCAAAGCCATAGCTTGCTTTACGCATGAAAATGTAGCAGATATCATTGCTTGGCTGGCAATCATAGCAGCAAGTGTGGCTATAACAAACACAGGCCAGAAGAGAGACTCTGCTTCACACAAAGCACAAACAGCAGGTACCAACACGATTACTATATGTAACAAATATATCTTATAGTTTTAAGGACAGTGACTTGTTCTAAAAACACAAGCAATCATTGTGTAAGCAAATATAACCTGGAACAGATTTGTAGAAAATGCTGGAATAAGAAGCAGGATTCTTCATCAAAAAAGCAGCTTGGCCCATATAAGCAAGGAGGAGACAGGGGAATACAACACAAGTGAAGGCAATCTGTACAAGCAATTATGCAAGAGGTTTAAGAAAGGAATTTAAATGATTATATTATAGGGAACTAACACAAGTTTAATGGTTTACTCTTCAAAGAGACAATTTGAGGATTCACAAACCTGTATTGCTGGTACAGAAAAATGACCTAGATCTGCAAACATTGCTTCTGCGCCTGTGGACGAATATGCAAGCAAGTTATATAATTTTCTGACACCTTGTCCTAAATGCTCTAAATTTCTCATTTAGATGAACAAGCATACATTAAATGTGTTCTGAAAGACAGAAAACTTCCAAATAATGTAAATTTGCAATATTTTCCAGACCACGTAAATAGCTTCTGTTGTTCTTGGGTTGCTACAGGTAAGAACTTAATTGGAAGAAATAACAGAAATACATGATTTAAAGTACATCATTAGCTATTATAAATTTTCTAGTCCGAGTTACCACTGTCTTTACTCATTAAACATGATATCCATCCTCCTTTTTTTAACCATTTATGTGATATATATCTATGAAAGTATTTTAGAGATTTCGATTTTGGGAAAGGGAAGGGGGAAGGGTGTGCACTGAGTTTATTTGTGTCTTGTACACAAGTGCTTATCCTCGTAGCTGTTAGATAAAAATATATTCTACCAAGCATGGGCTAATAAATCACATAAACCTATGATCTCATCCAGTGGCTCATAATGCTAAACTTCAAGAGAAAACCTAATACCTGAGATACAAATAAAAAATATGGTCAGTATTACAAACACATTAATAAGATGAGGGAAGAAGCAAAGGACACGTTCACGGGATCATTCAAGTCTAAGCTGACAACTAAATATGCCCAAACGTTATGTCATTCAATTGCAGTACTCAGTTTTAAGCCGTTGAAACAAAAAAACAAAAAAAAAAAGATATACCTGTAATGCACAGAACACAACCCCCAAGAGCTGACCATGCACCTTTGCCATTATTCTTGAAGAAATAGTAGATATAAGCTGGATTGAATGCTCTCAGAACAGTGATATCATATGTAAGTATATTATATATTCCAATAGAACCCAGAGAAAAGAACCATAATGCAATTACAGGGGCAAACATGAAACCCACTTTACTGGTACCAAACCGTTGTATGCTGAACAAAGCCAAGAGGACTACGATAGAAACACAAACCACTTCACCTGCAAGCAAGAACATGAAATGCAAATCTAAGCTTTGTTGTGAAGAATGTGAATTTGTTCATTTTTTCATAGTTCCATAATCATAAGATAGCATGTGAAAGAAGTTTTTCTGTATTTCCAATATGAGTAAAACCAGAAAGTGACTTGGAACTGCATAATAAACCTCTTTCCAAATTTTAACAGTTTTCTCATTGTTGCTGATATTATGTATCTTTTTTTTTTCTTTGTCCAGAAATAAAAATCTTGGAAAGCAGAGGAAAATATGCCTACCAGTACCAAATCCATTTATTTGATCCTGTAGACCACTTATGGCAGACATCACTGCAACAAAGAAGCACCAAGGTTATACTGAAGTTACACCACAAGCAAATTTTCTCAACATCAGTCCTACCATGACATGAAAAATGATAAGCAAATAACAAAAATTCCAAAAAGGAGGAGTGATTTTATGTTATCCGAAGGGACAGTGAAAACAAAGTGCTAATTCAATCAGTTTCAACAAATTCTAGTTTGCTTCTTGTGAATAGGTGGAGGTTTTGGATCCAGAAATTAGACCATCACCTTGATCAAGAGATGCCTAGTAACTTCTGAGGGAGCAGACATCTATAATAAACCTTCAATATCAGAGGAAGGGGACAGGTATGTCTTAAAATTTCTAAATCTACATAATTGCACTAGGAAATCTTGTTTTTCACATTGGATGCCATTAGGATGCCGTCCATTTCTTGCAACAAAGTATAATTAATAAATAGAGGATTAAAATCAAAATTTCTTATATCAAAGGATTGGACAATTTGGGAAAACAACTTGATTAACGTTAGTGCAAGTGTGTAATATGTTAGAAATATAATATAAAATCTTCCAGGGTCTTCACCTAACAACTTAAACTTTTGGGACAATTAGTTCATGACATGGTATCAAAGCATTTATGATCAAATGCTCTACATTTCAATTCTTGCAGCTACCATTCTTCTAACCAAAAAAGTTTAATTTTGACGCAAGGTCGCCTGCATTGTTCACCCTTCAAGCTCAAAGGGCTCTAGCATGAGGGGATACCTTAGAAATAAAATATTAACCATTCATGTGTTTCTACCTAACAGCTTAAGCTTTTGGGATAGTTGGCTCATGATATAATATAATAACTCAGATATTTACTGAGTGCTACAATTAGTATAACAAGTTTAGCTCATATGCAAATGCCTGTGGTATGTACCTGATATTGCCGGTGTAAGAATACCATCCCCAATAATCATGGAAGTCCCCAGAAGAACCAACACTAATAACACATTTTTCAAAGTTGATGTCTTTTCCAAAGTCTCCTTTATCTTTAAAGCCCTTTCCAGTTCTGGAGTAGGCAGTTTGAGCTTAAAACTAGAGATATGTTCATCAGCTTGTTGGCGATTTGGAAGCAGATTCACATTTGCATACCTGCAAATTAGTGAGTATAGTGCAAATGTTCCTCCTACAATTCAACCAGTAATGTATGGAAATTGTGATTTACGACAAGTCTGAAATGAACCAAAGCAAGTAATTCTGAGCGGGAAAATGAATTTTCTTACCTTCTCCATTATCATTTGCTTTGAGGACTATAAAAACATATTTTGCTAATGGAATAAGTGCTATTGTGTACATTACTAACGATAATGCCCCCAAGACATCAGCATCTGATCCAATTGGAACCTTGCTGAAGACATCAGCAAAAACATATAGAGGACTTGTTCCCATATCACCATATACTACGCCAAGAGTCTTAAATGCCAATACAAGAGTGGGCCAGAGGGAAAGGTCCTGATTTACACAAGTACAAAACACTAAAAAGAGTAAGTTTGTCCTATATGTGCTCTATTAAATGAATGGTGAAGTGAAGGTTAACAATGTCTAGTTTCCATCAGAAATGGAAAAGTCAGCATGAGAAAATCTCTGCATTCAAATGCTTCAATAATGCCTCAATTATTAGTAGTGAAGTGCTGAAGTTACAAGCTGTAATGCCATCTTACAAATGTTCCACAGTTGGGAATATTTTTAAACGAGAAGTGATTGACTCAAGAGGAAAACCAATTTCCTAAACGTTCAAAGAAGTTGGATGTTCTTCCTAAAATAAAAGACTTTCAATGCTGTACAAAGTACACTCATCTTGTAGCCACTGTCTCAGTTCCAACTGTTATGTGTTTGCTAACATTCCCAGACTCTGAGGTTGTTAGTTTCAAGAAGCTTGAATAATTTAAGTTGTTCTTTTTTCAACCCTTTTCCTTTACTTTTGAGTATTTGCTCTTTTATGTTTAGACTTTCAATTCAACTCTGAGAGGGTGGCTTTACTACTTCTAGCACATCATTTTATATGTATGACTTTCTTTTTCAATAAAACCATACTAATGATTCATATCAACATCCCTTGACTTACCTACCCTTTAAAGTCCAAAGAATCTAACAAAAATCAAATTGGTGCTTTTACTTCAAGGTTCCAGTACCAACACCAATTCCCTTTAATTCCACACACTCTAAACTCTCAATCAATACAGTTAAACACTAAGACGGCAAACCCAACAATGAACATAGAAACAAATAGGCGTCACCACTCTCACATGGATAAATTCTTACGAACTCTCGCAACACTAACTAAAATTTAAAAAAAAAAAAAAAAAAAAACACATGGCACACATCATGAATATTTGATAGGTTTATTTATAAATTATTAGTCCTTAAAAATATTACGCTTTTTGACTTTAATCCCAATAAAAATTTTATTCAATTTTTGTATAAAACTAAAAACCATGATATTTTCAGGGACAAGTTACTTATATAAAGCCTATTCAACAAAACATAAAAATAAATAAATAAACAAGAGCTAGAACATTTTAAAGTATTATTATTAGTCTAGCTAAAAGAAATGATAAAATGACAATAATTTACCTTGGAGTGAGGACCATGTGTTCCAGCAATCTCCACGGCTTCAACATCAAATGAATCAACTCTCTTGGGCTTCTTGACAAGCCTCCTCCTAATTGATCCATACCCTTCTCTACCGTCATGCTTAGACCACATAGGAGCCTCATCCCAGTCAACTTCATTGCCATCAACCCACCTTGACTCACTGCTTCCACCACTGCTGCTGCTTCTACCCAACAACCTCACACTGCTCTCTTCAATCTTATCCACGTTCATTCTCACACAAAACCACCACCAATACCAGATAAATCACAAACCCACTTCCCAAATTGAATCAGCTTCTGAAAGAGTGCAACTTTATCAGCAAGTTTTGATGATTTTTCAGATAAAAATTCATCTTTTTCTTCTTCTTTTCTGCAAAACCAGAGGAGAGTGTGAAGTTAGCTTGCAGAGGTTGCAGAGTGGTCACGTTGAAACATTCTGAGAGCCAGTTTTACCCAAGACCATGATATGATCATTAACATATGAAAAGGACAGGGATCCAATGGGGATTTTGCAAAAATATAAATAATAATAATGTTAATTTGAACACTCTCAGTGTATTGGGGGTCGGGGGCCTGATGGACATGGAGCATCACATGATCGACTACATGGGATTGTTATAACAAGACAAAATATGCCAAATATTCCGTGTTTATAAAATTGACGTTGGACCTTCACACAATAATATGATATGATATGATTAAAAATTGAACTATCCGACTTCTTTTTATTGAATCTGTACTTTATATAATTAATTGAAAATAATAAGAAAAACGCTATAAATAACTAGTATTTTCTTATTTATTTATTATAAAATTAGAGCAGACTAAAAAAATTCAATCATTTTATATTTTTTACATTTAAACTATTTAATTAATATAAATATGTTATTTATTATATTGAAATTTTACATAAGAAAAAATATTAGTAAAATAAAAATTTTATTTTCCTCTTAAAACTGAATTTAAACCATTAATAATCATAAAGTTTTACAAAAATATTTTTATATTTTTAATATAATTTTTTAATGAATTTATCATTTTATATTTTTAAATTAGAGTTGAAGTTATTAAATTTTAATAAAAAGTAATAATTCATTTTATATATATATATATATATTTTTTTTTCTCTACAGAAATAAATAAAACAAAATAAATATTTTTTTTTAATCACACAATGAAACCTGAAGACAGTAAATATCCTCCCCTTATTTATAGATTGAGAGATGAAGTTATTATCCTTTCGTCTGAGTGTGTTTATTTATATTTTTAATAACAAATTATTAAAATAATATTTTAAAAAAAATAATTTTCCTGATTAAAATTTTTTAGCCATATCACCACAAATTTGGATCTCACAAAATAAAAACAAGATTTGTTCCTGCTGCAGTAGAAATCCTATCAAATTTCGTTGAAACAACTTATTATTATTTAAAATTAAATTTGAATTTGGACGTGATTTGCTGCGCTTCTCCTCACACGATTAAAAAGGACAGTGGAAAATATCCGCACGGCACTCCCAATAAATAAAATATTAATCCAACATACATGCATTGACATATCTTGTTAGGATTTTAATCAGAGTATATTATATTTTAAAAAAATACATATGTAATATTACTCTTTTGTTATCTATCATAAATAATTTATTTTATGTTTTTTAAATACTATTAATTATGTTTTATATATAACTTAATTTTTATTTGTATGTCTTGTTCTTTAAATATTTTTGTACTGTAATTCTTTTAATATATTAAAGCTCTCAGAGAATTATATCTTATACATTTTTATTAAAGTAAAATATATTATATTTCAATGATTAATTAAGAGAGTTTAATTCTCTCTCATGCGTATAACAATCATTATCATTAATTTTATATTAATAAATAATAAAATTAGTAGTTTAATTTTAAAAATTAATATCTTTTAAACTTTAAAATATCAGGTAAATTACAGCAATTAATTTAAAGAATATATAAATACTTTCTCAATCTCACAGGCATCACAACAAACACCACTTATTAAAGGTGAGAATTTTTTTTCATTTTCATTATTTAATGTTGAATCAAGCTTTTAAAACTTTTATTACAATCACATGTATTTATTATTATATGAAAAATACATTAAACTCGTTGAATTTTTAAAATATTAACAAATGAAGTATAAAATTTATTAAAAAGAGTATTTTAGTAAAAAAAAAAAAATCAATCTTTAGTAGTGCTTTAATAAAAAAAAAATTAAATGAACTAAATTATGATTCGTTTTAATTCTTTAAAAAATTATATAATTTTAAAATATAAAATAGTTAATTTAATAAATGCATCTTTTGAAAAAATGTAATTTACTCTTTTAATCAATTAAAATTTGGGTAAAAATTATTTTAGACACTATGTGTATGACATTAATTAGAATTTGAACAATATATTATATTTATTAGAATAATAAATAAAATAATATTATACTAGTTTAGATCATTCAAAAGTCAAATCTATTAAATTAATTTAATGGAAAGATAATAAAATTACCCGCAAATAGATATCTATGGACGGGAAAGTTATTTTAATATTGTGTTTAATAATTAAAAATATATAAATATGGTATTTTTTGCATATTTACTGGAATATGGTCCTTCAAAAAATGCTAATGATAATTTATAGAGAAATAAAAACATGGCAGCATGCTTAAATTGCAATTTAGATGCATTAGGTCTTTAAAAGAGCACTCATGACAATTTTTGAAGAAACAAGTCAAACATAGTCAAAATTTTAGGTATTCAAATATTGTACAAAAAATGTCAATAATAATTTTTACCTGAGTCAAAGAATCTTTGTAAGTCTTGTCACATCATTGTTGCACTTCTATAACATCATCGTTTGTAAGTTTTGACCATAACAGGTCTCTAAAGGTGAGTCAAGCATAGATCAGGAAATAGTGAAAAACTTAAAATCGCCAATAATAATTTTTACTTTATATATATATATGACTTGAAACTTAGTATTAAATGCGCAAAAGAAAGAGAAAAATTTTAAAGAAGAAGAATGAGATCTAGGAAAGAAGAAGGTCTAAGAGAAACGGAAAGAATAGGGTAACAAATAAAAAAAATAAAGAATAGAAAAAAATATTTTAATATTAAAAATATTAATTTTTTAAAAAAAAGGTTAAAGAATTTAACTATTGATTTAAGAAAATATATCTCAGAAAAAAATCTAAAATTTAAATGTAAGTTATTCTATTATATTTTTTATATTTTTAATGTTAATTTTAATTATAGTTTAAATTTTATTAAATAAAAAATAATGTTATTAATATATAGTAGTTTAGTAAATATTTTTAGTAATATTAATTTTGGACTAAAGATAGTGTAATAATAAATATTGAAAATTTATTTAAAACTTAAAATGTTATAGTTATTAAAATAGATATGTTTTGAATTTATGTTGGAAAAAGATATAATAATGTATATTTTGTAATTATTTTTTTAAAATATTATCATTAATGTATTTTTTTTAATTATAATATTTTATATATATAATGAAAAGTATATTATATTATACTGTAATTATGTTGTGAAATTATTTAGGTTAAAACAATAATTAATTTTTGTTAAAATATTTATTATAATGGAATAAAATTTATAAAAGTGAATGTAACTTGTTTATGAGTAGTATACATTTTTTAATTTATTTAACATCTGTTATAACTTAAATTATAATTAATTTATTAATTAATAATTACTAATTTACATGCAGAATATTTTATAAAAAATTATGAGCAGCATTTTAAATTAATTAAAAATGATATTTATTAATATTTGTAGTGAAAATAATATAATTTTTTATATTTGGTAATTAGAGATTTTGAAAAATTTTATATTGTATTTTAAAAAGTAATAAAAATAATTGTATATAACATAAATGTAATATTATAATAAAAATAGTTAAATAAATTTTTACGTTTCCTAATAATTATTTATGGCAATTTAAATAATTATAATTTGAATAGTAATTATTATGAATTTTTTAATTATTAACTATGTTTATTGCTAATTTTGGGTTAATGTAAATATTTTTGTTAATTATGTCCAGCATCTTAACGTGGTTAATTTAGAAATATAATTTTGTTGATATTACTATAATGGAATATTATTTTATAAATGTGTATGTAATATATTTTTGTAATCTATTAACGTGCAATAAAAATATTATTTAATAAAAATATTTTTGTAATGTTATTTTATAATTTTGCTGATTAAATTATTTTTTTATCCACCTATTGGTGAGGAGGAAACCAATATTGGGATAAAGCTAGCAAAACAAGTTATTGTGCGCAAAGTTAGGTAAAATAAAACTGTATCCACTTTAGGGCTTAGGCTAGTAAAATATGTTTACATATACTAAAATAAACTTAATTCTAACATTGCTATTTTATGATAATTTTTTATATTTGCTTGACATAATATTATGTTATTGTAATTGGAGCAAAATATTTGTTATTTTTATAATTTAAGTGTTTTGTTTTTTTCCTTTCAATTATAATTTTTTGTATATATAATATTTTAAACTAGTTGTTTATAAAAGAAATTCTTTTTTATCCAAGAAATATTTATGGATATCCGCAAATAATAATAAACCTATAAAAACTTAATATCTTAGTTTCAAGAGCTTATGAAAAACAAATAAGTTTAAGAGAATAAAAAATAAAAAAAAGTTCTTTTTCTCAATTTATTACAATAATTTTTATTGTTAAATTTATAACATATGTCATATTTTAAAAAGATTCTATTAAATAAGTATTTAAATAAATTAATTATTCAAATATACTTTAAAACTCACTTAATAAGTACCCAGTACCCACATAAGTATTTAACAAGGACAGTAAATTTTTATCAGTAAGTGCTCGTACTTACTACCTATATTTGCCTTATTGACATCCCTAATCTAAAACAAAAACAAATTTAATTTAAAAAATTATAATTTTGCAGTTTAATTTTTAGTTTCCATATTTAAAACTAAATTAATCCCATATATACTATATTTGTATTAATTTTATATTTTATTTGTACATAAACAATAACCAAAATATATAACTTTTGTTCCTATTTTTTTCTTCTTTTTATTTGTTTATGTAAAAATTTAAGACAATATCAAATATTGTTCCTTTATGAATGTCCTTTTTGTCCGTATAACATATTTATACTATTTGAATAATTCAAGAAAAAAATTGTTAGTAAAAAGATAAATTAGTAAGTTTAACAATTAATTCTAATAAATGTTTAATTTTTTTTCTTTGTAATTCCTTTTTTTTAAGATAAATAAGAACATAGATAATATTTTATTAAATATATTTATATTAAAAAAACAATTGAGATTATTTTAACTCATAAATTTGAAATTTAGATTAAATTATGATTTATTATAAGATTTAACATTTTTAATTTTTTATATTTATTATGTGTACAATCTTTTATTTAACAAGTATTCTCTTAAATGAAAAAATAGTCATTAAGGAATTTATGTACTGGATTAAGACTTTATTTAATGAAAATTTATTTATTTGCTAAAAAAAAATTAAAATATTATCTTTGAGTATAATGA